GGGCACCCGCCCGCCCCGGCGCGGGGGGGCCTGCCACTCTCAGCGTGCATGGCCACTGCCTCTCAGGCAGCTCGACTGCCGCCGCTGAGCTGAGCGAAGCTCCGGCCCTGCCTCTGCAGCCTCCTTCCTGTCCTTCAGAACCTCTTCGTTCAGGGCAGCAGTCTACGAGCCCCAGCTGTTTGTACTTTAAGCAGGGGCTGGGAAGCTAGAAGTAACCCCCGTGAAATCGCTGGGAAGCTAGAAGTAACCCCCGTGAAATCGCAAGTCAAGACGTTGTTTCCCATTACCGAAGGGAAGGACCTAGCCCTGAGAACCGGCCTCTGATTTCATTCGGGCCAAAGGGAAAGCGGCCCAAGGGCCAAGACCCCTGCCTCTCCCCTGCCTCTCCCCTGCCTCACTCACTTGTACTCTCCAAAAAACTGGGAAAGGCAACCACTTTCTTGGCCACAAGGCAGGTGGAAGTTTCTGAAGCACTGATTGTTCTGGCACTTGATAGCAGCTCCCTTTTTCTTGCACACAAAGCAGGTCTGTAAGGGAGATCCCAGATAGGCTCAGAGCCCAGGAAAAGTTGTGGTGCCTCTTTCTATGTAAAGCAGAGCCATTCCCCCGCCCCGTGGGCTAGAATGCTCTGGGGCACCCTGAAGCTGAGCTTCAAGCAGCACTGAATGTCCTTTGGCTTTCTCAGATGTCGCTCTCATCCTCACTTAGGACACTGTGCCGCAGAGGACTATGGGGGAAAAGCTAAGAGCCCTCTGACTTCTAAATGAACTAGAGGGAAAAACCGATACAGGGAGGATGAGAGAAGCCTACTCCAGGGTCCGCATTTCCAATTCTAACCTTCCTAGAAGCCCGGACCGCCTCCTTTTTGATGTCCTCAGGCAGGAATCCATGGAAACCTCTGTTGGACTGGCCCCTCTGAGGCAGCTTGCTAGATAGGATCTGGGGGTGGGGTGCAGCAGAACCAGGCTGTTAACTTCGATATCAGTACAACAGTGCAGTGGGGTGAGGAGGATGACAGGGCAGAAAACGGAGCAGCACTTCATGAAATATGGATGCATTACAGGATGATTTACATCCGCCTCCCCACCTCTGCACGGAGGGTTGCTGCGCTGCTCTGAGCACCCTGGGGAATCTCTCCCTGTGGTGACTCCTTTTATGCTCACCGCAGCCCAATGATACCAATGCCATTGTCACCCTCATCTTGCAGATAGTCTCTGAAGTGCTGGGCGAGTGACCAGCTGCAGTCAGACGGCAAGGGGGAGCAGAGCTGGCATTCACACTCACCCAGGGAACCCATGCTCTCCCTCCTCTGCTGCAGTGCCCTCAGCTGGAATGAGCTCTCTGATTCTCTGAGTACCCCAGGAGTGGGGATGGGCTTGCAAATCTCCTGACTATGGTCATTCTACGGTACCCGAGAAGGAACAGAACTGCGCTTTTATTGTTAAAGCACACTTTAAAAAGGTCTTTGTTTCTGAAAAGCTCCCAGAGTCTGAAGTCGGTAAACAAGGAAAAGAAGCTAACTTGTCCTGTCACATACGAGGGGAGACTGTCAAAATCCTACCCTCACCCAAGAATCTTCCCAAAAATGGGGAGGGTGCTGGATTTCCTGCAGTAATTTTTATGAAATGTGTAGTGGGAGCTCAGGTTACTTTAACACTAGAAAAGGTGACCCTAAAATGTTAAATGACTTGAGGGCACTTGATTACGGCTCAGTGTTCCAAATTATGCCTAAAACATGTACAATACATACACATGCACACACACATACATATATTTTTTTAAGTTTCTTTTTTGCTATAAAGTACACACACTTGCTGAAAGAGAGACAGAAGGAAAGTGAGAAATCACCGCCAAGGGGTGGCCATGCCACAATCCCTTCTCCTCCAATCTCCTTTTAAGATTTTGGGCACACAAACAAACACATTGGCGTGTTTTTCAAGCGAGTGGGTCGAGGACCTGAAACATGCAGTCAGCCACATAGGATCCAGTGCCTTAACCACCATGCCACCTGCTGGCCCGTGTATGTTATACATTTTAACACTATCTCAAGGCTTTAGGGAAATACGTATTACTGAATTCAGCACCAGGTAAAAAGTATAATACATCTGGACCAAATGTGGTTGATACGAGGAATACAAGGTTAGTTTAACTTTAAACAACCTAGTCGATGCAATGAATCACATTAAGAGGGCCAGCAGGTGGCATAGTGGTTAAGGCACTGGACTCCCACATGGCCAGCTGTAGTTTGAGTCCCAGACCTGGTGACTTGCTTTCTCTCCTTCCCCCTCTGTCTCTCTCTGGACAAGTTGAAAAAGAAAAAAGTTAAATAATTATTTTAAAAATAAATTATATTAATAAAATAAAGAAGAAAAATCAAGATAATCTCAATGGACATAGAAAAGGCATACAAAAAGCATATTCGACAAACATTCATGATACCTTCAGCAACTAGGAATAAATGGAAACATCAATCTGATAAAAAGCATCTGTGATTAAAAATTTGTGGGGGTTCTTCAAAGTGCTCATGGAAAATGCATGTTATGAAAAACCTATGTGTGGACTTAAAATTATTTTCCTTGGCATTAAAATAAACTCATACTTTTATTTTTTATTTATTTTTGCCATAGGGTACGAATGCTCAGTGGAGAGACTAGAGAGGGAAAGTGAGAAATCACCCCCCAAGAAAGGATGGCCATGCTGTAATCCTTTCCCCTCCATTCTCCCCGTTGGGATTTTGGGCACATACATACACACACATGCCCTGTGTGCTTTTCAAGCTGTTGGGTCTGAGATTTGAACCATGGAGTTGACCATGTAGGAGCCATCGCCTTAACCACTATACCACCTGATGGCCCCATTAAACTCATACTTTGATTTCATATTTCCACCAACTTTTGAAGCATGCTTGTATAGCTAACATCATATTTTAATGGTGAAAAACATGATGCTGGGAACAAGACAAGGGTAGGCACTCACACCGCTCCTATTCAATGTTAGGCTAAAGGTCCTAGCCAATGTGATAAAGCATGAAAACCAAATATAAGACAAAGATTGGAAAGGAAGATGTGAAACTGTCCTTTCTCACAAATGACATGATTCCTAGGGAATTTAAAACAAACAAAACAACTGGGGCCAGCAGGTGGTGTGGTGGTTAGAGACGCTGGACTCCCTCATGGGTGACCGTGGTCCAAGTCCCAGACCTGGTGGCTTGCTTTCTTGCTTTCCCTCTCTCTTTCTCTCTGTCTCTCTCTGATCAAGTTAAAAAATAATGATAATGGTAAATAAAGTTAAATGAAATAATTCTACAAAAACCCAATCAAACAAAACAACTACTGAACTAATAATAAGCAAATTTAACAAGGTTGCAGAACACAAAGTGAATATATAAAAATAAACTGCAACAGCATGACTACAAAATATCTATAAATACATTTAATGAAAGATATATAAGACTTCTTCACTAAAACCATAAGACATTAAAAGGCCCTTGGAGCCAGCAGATGGTTTAGTGGTTATATCGCTGGATTCCCACATGACCCACCGTGGTTCAAATCCTGGACCCAGTGGCTTAAAAATCATGCTGGCCACGTGTGTGTGCCCGAGATCCTAGGAGGAGAGTGGAGGAGAAGGGACTGTGGCATGGCTATCCCCCCAGGGGGTGATTTCTCACTTTCTCACTCACTGTCTCTGTCTCTGTCTCTCTGGCAAATGCGCACACTCAGGGGAAAAAAAATGAAAAGACCAAAATAAGTGGAGATATATACTATATCCAGGTACTGGGAAATTCAGTATCATCAGTTCTTCTCAAGTTGATCTAGAAATTCAACACAATCACAATCCCAGTAGACTTTTCTTTAAGAAAAATTGACAAACTTAATATAAGTCTGATAACCCAAACTATCTTGGAAAAGACTGCAGGAGGTACAGCCCTTAATTTCAAGATGCTCTAAAGCCACAGTAAACAAGATGGTAGGGTGACGATGTGAGGACGGATGCAGAGATCGGCGACATACTTCATATACATGCAGTCAGTTGATTTTGACAAAGGCACCAAGGTGACTCAAAGGGTGAGGCAAACATTTCTTGAGAAATGTTTCTTGAGAAAGCACTAACTCTTAAATTTTTTTTGATAAATTAGATGCCATCAAAATAAAAAACTTATTCTTTCAGGGGACAGCAGGTAGCATGGTGGTGAAGATACTGGATTACCACATGGCTACCTGCAGTTCAAGTCCCGGACCTGGTGGCTAGAAAGTCACAATAGATAAATAAATAAACGTTCAAAAGGAAAGATTATTAAAAAGATTCTTATCTTCCAAAGACACCATTGAGAAGATGAAGAGGCAAGCTGCAGACTAGGAGAAAATAGTCACAATATGTGTATCTGAAAAAGAATTTGTGTCCAAAATATGTAAACAATTTTTACAACTCAATCATAAGACAAAGTCACCAATTTTAAAAAATGGACAAAAATATTTGTGCAGATACTTCACAAGAAAAAATATATGAATGGCCCACAAGCACATAAAAGATGTGCAACATCTTAATCCATCAGAGAAATGCGAATTAAAAGCGCAAGGAGATACCTATATGCATCTAGTAGAATGCTCAAAAGAAACTAGCAATTCCGAGTCTCGGCAAGGATATTGTGCAACTGGAATGCTCATAAATCGCTTGTGGGAGTGTCAAGTGGTACAACCACACTAGGAAGAGGCTTGGCAACCTCACAGAGAGTTAAATTTTGAGTAAGCACCTAACCAATAAATCCACTTCTAGGCAATTGCTCCAGAAAAGTGAGAACACAGAGAACACAGAGAAAAAGACTTGCACACGAATGTTCACAGCCACTTTATTCATAACGGTCCTGAAAGGGAAGCGATTCAAATGTGCAGAGCAGCTGAGCTGTAACACGCTCACCCTCAGCGTACCCCGGGACAAGCCACAGATGCATGCGGCAGCCTGGAAGGCCCTCCGAAACACTGTGGGAGAAAAACGCCAGACGCACAAAAGCATAAGCAGCCTGTAACTGCATTTATACGAAGCAAAAGAGGCAAAAATAGTGATCATCTCTGGCAGGACTGACTAAAAGGGGCCAAGAAGGAACTTTCTGAGATGAATGAAATGTCACTTATTTTGACCTGGACAGTGGTCGCATGGGGTTATATGTTTATCCAAGTTCAACAAACTATACTTAAAATTGGTGCGTTTTATAGTATGCAAATGAAAGATACTGGGGACAAAATGACAGGAAGGACATCCCAACTGTTGGCAGGATTTATTTCTGGGGAGAGGGAGAAGGATTGGGAATACTGTTTTGAGAAGAAACATCTTATTGTACATACGTCATATTATCAAGATTTTATATTAAGCACATATATTACTTTAAAAAATATTTTTAAGAGAGATTTTTGCTATAGGGTGTGAGAAAGATAGAGAGAAAGAAAGTAAGAAATCACCTCTCAGGGGGATGGTCACACCACAATCCCTTCTCCTCCATTCTCCCCTTGGGATTTTGAGCACACATGCCCATGTACCTGACCTGTGTCAAGCTGCCAGATCTGGGACTCAAACCATAGTCAGTCATGTGGGAGTCCAGTGCCTTAACCACTATGCCACTTGCTGGTCCTTATAATAGATTTTTTTTTTAATTATTAAAAAAAAAAAGGGGGGGACTCTAGGTCTGAGACCGGATGCAAAAACAGAGCCGCATGTTAGTAAAAGCCATAGCACAGTCAAAGCAAAGGAAGCCTTATACTCACGAGACAGAAATAATGCACGCTGAGATTGTCTTTCTGAAGAAATTCCCCTAGTTTTTCAGGATCCCCAGGCTCTTGAAGGCATAGCCGGCAAACTTGAAGAGAGAACGTTAAGAATTACAGGTTTGGCTGGAGTTGACCATTAACAGAATGGAAGCATGACCGCCCTCTAAACACAGGAACGAATAGAGTACTGGAAGGGGGTCGTTCTGGAGAGGAAAAAGGCTGAGATGAGGTCTTATGTGGCAACAGGCCTCTGTCTGCCTTTGGTGACGCTGAAGGGGCTGGCCGACACAGCTTACTTCATATATAACTATCCATAGACATTTCTAACTAGCTATCTGTAACTGTGTAGCTATATACATAAGAAACTGGGATCTTAGAGTTACATACATATATCTATAGCTATCTATCTATCTATCTATCTATCTATCTATGTATCTATCTATTGTCTTAAGTGGCCTTGATTAACTTGATTAACCTTGGCCATGAAATTTAAAAATTACAGACCTGAGTTCTTCAAGAACCTGGGAAGGAAGCGGGCTGGACAGTGACAGAAGTGCGTGTCCTGCCCTACACAGTGGCCTCCTTTGCTGAGTCTAGAGGCAGTGACTGCATGCAACCTCCCATTTTTCTTACCAGGTCCTAAAGACGGCTTCTTCTGGGTTACCCTCTTGGTCCTGGGAAATTTTCTACACAAGAGAAAAAAGAGGTACAAGGTAGGGTTAGAGGATCCCATTGAGAAGACTTGTAACATCTCTTTTATTTATTTACTTATTTTTTTGAGAGGTTTTTGGTACAGGGCGCATGCGCTCACCAGAAAGACAGAGAGAGACAGAGAGACAGAAAGTGAGAAATCACCCCCCAGGGGGGACGGCCACGCTGCAATCCCTTCTCCTCCATTCTCCTCTCGGGATCTTGGGCACACATACACATGTGCCTGGCGTGAGTTTAAGACACCGGGTCCAGGACTCGAACAGCTGTTGACTACATGGGAGTACAGCGACATAGCCATTACACTAACTGCTGGTCCCATAACATCTCTTTTAAAATGCCATTTATAGGTCTGGAGGACCAAAATATCTGAAGGATAAGATATCAGTTTCTTTTCATATTTCATACTTTTTTTGGAAACATGCAACATACCCACTAAATTATTTGAGGGTAAGGACTGGATCGCAGTGATCTTTTTGTCCCCAGTGCCTACACTACCTGCGTTGACTGAATGACTACAAGAATGAAACCCTCTTCTACTCCTTCTTCTGTCCACTGCACTGACTTGCAGGCACCCCCGAATTATACCAAAACTGACTGGGCATTCCCCATGGCTTGGTACTATTCTTGGCACTTGACAAGTTTTAGCTCAGTGACTCTACAATCGCTCAATAAATCTGCAGAGCACGCAAAATACTGGGTGCTACTGTCATGCACATATTCCAGATGAGGAAACTGAGCCATAACGAAATGAAGTGACTTATTCAGCAAATGGCAGAGCCAGGATACGAATCTAGGCAGCTTCCAGAGGACCACTGGTATGCGCATCCACACTGTCCAACACCAGCTCCGAGACCATGCCGAACTGTGCCAAAGCCCAGCACACACCGCAGGGTAAGGCCATTGATGACTTCTCCCAAACTCCCTATGTCACCTACCCTACCTTCGTCTTCGGTGTTCCTTCTGGTTTTCTGTTACAGTCTTCATTCGCAGCTGCCTCTCTCTCTCCTATCTTGAATTCTTCTATATTATTCCAAAGACAACACAGGCTCTTGCTGCTACAAAGACAAATGGGGCTTGGTCAGGATTTTCATTCTAGATTTTATTATCAAGTTCCGTACAGGCAATGGAACAGTGCATTTCACTTCCTAATGCACTGGTGGAATGAAAAGGATGCACCCAGGGTAAGTGCTGCACACAGTTGATAATTATTGAATCTTGCCAACAACCGCTCCAGGCAGTGCACGTGCATTCACTCACGAAGACACTATGCAGGAGATACCATTGTTATTCCCACTTTCAGGTTGAGGAGACTGAGACACAGAGAGGTAAGTACCTTCCCCAGGGTCACAGTAAGTGGTACAGGAGGGATGTGCAAGCGGCTGGCCCCAAAGCCCAACCCTAACTCCATGTCACACTGCTATCCCACGGCTGTGAGTGGACTCGATCCAGCTAAGTGGTTGTTCTTTGTGCCCATGAAATGTCACGAGGCAGCATGCAAGAAAAATGGCCCCTTCTGCACCCTAGTATGGATGTCTTAATTCTACCCAGTAAAAGTCAGATAAAGTAGCTCTTCCCTAGGAAAAGGGGTCTGTGAGATTTTGGCTGCCTAAATGCAAGTAAGAAACAAAGGTAACTCTGCTCAATCACACCCTTACTTTCTAGCACTTCTTTTCACCAGGCTCAGATGGCCCTGTCGCCAGTCTTCATCTAGATGACAGCCAAGTATAATACTCCGAAGCGGAGAAGACACCTTGCCACTCCCGCCAGGGATGTCAGCCAACTACAAAGTTACACGGTCTTGAGGCCAGCAGGTGGTGTGGTGGTTAAGGAGGTTGGATCCCACACGGCCAAGTGGGTGGTATGAGTCTTGGGCCATGCTGCTTCAAAATTACTCCAGGCACATGTACGTGTGTGCCCAAAATCTCAAGAGGAGAACAAAAGAGAATGGACTGCGACATGGCCGTCCCTCCTGAAGGGCATTTTCTCTCTCTCTCTCCCATGAGTGCATGCATAACTGTTACCCAACTCAGATCAGGTTCGCTCACCCAAGCACTGCAAACTAAACTATAGATACACACAGTGATGAGGGACAGTACAGCTTTGTTGCATTGCTCAAAGTGAGGAGAGTGGGCAGTTCATGCCGAAGAGCCCATCCATCTCCCTGAGGTGTTTTCCACGTGGTTTTTATTTTTTTTCTGGAGAGGTTTTTGCTATAGGGCGTGTGCGCTCGCCAGACAGACAGAGACAGAGAGATAGAAAGCGAGAAATCACCCTCCCAGGGGGATGGCCACACCACAATCCCTTCTCCTCCATTCTCCTCTCGGGATCTTGGGCACGCAAGCACACGCGCCTGGCGTGAGTTTAAGCCACCGGGTCCAGGACTTGCACCGCAGTCAACTACGTGGGAGTCCAGCAACATAGCCATTACGCTAACTACTGGTCCCTCCACATGTGTTTTTAAGGGTAAAATTAGGGTAAGATTTCAGGCACGTGGTCAGTTCAATAGGGCATGATCATCTCATGGATGCTTTCTTTTTTCTTTTTACATTTTTGCCATAGGGTGTCTGTACTTCCGAGAGAGAGAGAGAGAGAGAGAAAGAGAGAGAGAGAGAGAGAGAGAGAGAGGAGGAAAGTGAAAAAAATCACTCCTCAGGGGGATGGCCCACACTGCAATTCCCTCTTCTCTTGGGATTTTGGGGACACACACACACCCCCAGTATGATTTTCCAGGATTCAGTCAGCCATGTAGGAGTCCAGCACCTTAACCACCACGTCACCTGCTGGCCCCTCAAGGGTGTTTTTGTTTGGCAAGGCCTTAGATAATCAAATTTCTGTTGAGGTTTCTGTAGACATTCAGCCTGGGTTTTTTTTTTTTTTTTTTTTTTTTTTTTTGAGAGGTTTTCTGCTATAGGACTCGCGTGCTCGCCAGAAAGACAGAGACAAAGACAGAAAGTGAGAAATCTCCCCCCAGGGGGAATGGCCACAGCGCAATCCCTTCTCCTCCATTCTCCTCTCAGGATTTTGGGCATGCACGCACATGTGCCCGGCATGAGTTTAAGCCACCGGGTCCGGGACTCGAACTGTGGTTGACTAAATGGGAGTCCAGCGACATAGCCATTACGCCAACTGCTGGTCCCCCTACAAAATATCTTAAGTATTGAAGTTAAAGACCTTAAGTCCCCTTTAAGTGGGTGTTTTAGGAGTCTAACTCCTTATTTAGGCCATTACAGTGTAGATGGAGGGACCTTGTAGTCCAAGTTCCTT